AAGAAAAATGAACAGACTATAACATCCCAAAATTATAAAAGAAATGTGTAGACTTTAATCTGAAATCCAGTGCACCATAACCTCCACGCACAGCTTGCACTGACACAAACCTTGCAAACGCTTAGGGCATCTAACTTAGAGAGCTAACGTATGCTATATGCTGCCAGTTTATCTGCTGTTTGATGAATCAATGCTTTATTCTTCTATTTCTCCCCTTATTTTGGAGGGCTCAAAGTGTTTTCCAAGGATTTTCTCCCAGCAGTACAGAAATGCAGTCACTTCTGGGTGAGAATAAGTGCAGAATGTCTGAAGGAATGGAAAAAGATCTCAAACTCTGAAGAACTTAATCAAATCCACCTATGGGAAAAGGGGGTTGGAGAAATACATGTCAAGTAATTCACAAGGGTGGAAAAGAAAAGCCAACAGATTTGCTAATCAGAAGAAGAGGAGTGAGGAGCAATCCTGAGTGCCAGAACAACCTCCCTGTAGTTAAAGCTGGGTCTGTGAAGCCCTGTGCCAGAAAGCATGGGGCTGAACTCTGCACCCTCCATGACCTACATGTCTGTATTACTTGGCCTGTAAGCCAGAACATGAAAATGGCTATCTTACACAGAAAAAAAAAAATAATCACTATTCATTTTCTTCAAACCTCTCTCCTACTATTTCATCCTTGCCTCCAACTTCTCCCTTCTTAGTCAGAGAAGACAGCTGACCTCTTTAACCAACTCTGCAGCAATAAGGCTTTCTAGCATGTAGTATTTACATTTTAAATTATGGGGTTTTTTGCACTGCAAGTCGACAATAACTATCCAAGTCCCCAGGGCAAAGACATTAAAAGAAAAGCAAAAGTCCATGCTATGTTATATTCACTATGCCATAAACAGCATTTACCAGTAGGTTGTATAGATCAGACTATCACATCTTCTCCAAGAGACACCAAGCCTGTAAGCCATGGAAGCTCAAGATGTCCTCAGAGCTCATCATGCCAAGCCATGAAGTCAAACCACTGCCTCCTTCTGTGGCATGGAACCATACAAGTGCTGTAGGAGTCCAGCAGGGAAGCAAGGACAGTGTCTGAAGTGAGCAAATAAGGAAGGGAAGAAATGAACCCATTCCTTTGCCTGTCCCTAGCGATCCAGGAAGCAAGAAAGGAGAGAAAATAGTGTCAGCTTCCCCATCAGGGAAGCGTAACCCCTCACTGGCAGAAGCACGGAGTGTGTATAGACTCTGTTAAGCCCCACAGAAAGAGTTACCTTCATCACGGGCACCAACGGCTTTTCTACAGAATTATGCCAGGGAAGAACTTGCCCACTTTAGCTTACTGATTTCCTCACCTTATGTCCTACTCCAATAACCATGCTGTGCTGCCACAGGTCATTGCATTCATTAAATCTAAGAGGATATAAGCCCTGAAGAACATGAAGAACATGAACCTTGTCTGCTTACCAAACATCCAACAGCCTGAGGGCAGGATCTGTTCAAAATGCCCTTCCCACAGTATCAAGAAGGGGTGATGCTGTCCCTAGTATAACCTGGCTGCAGGTGACAAGGTAAACTGGTGACGGTCCTTGCATCAGGTAACTTACACTGATAAAAGGTCTGGCTTCACAAAGTGGACACGTGTGAAAGAAAAGCAATTTAATGGTAATTTGTCATATTAATGGTCTTACTAAATGACACACACCATTAAAGAACCATAAGCAAGAGACTGGTAATGACCAAGTCAATGTTATCATTTGCTCTCATTTTACAGGCTGGCTCTTGTAAAGGAGAACAGATTAAAGAGACTTACAAGGAAATCAAAGTTATTTGGCATATAAACAAGCTGGCAGGTAAACAATTGTGATTCAGTGAGGCAAGTGTCGACCTTCAAAGGAAAAGGATGGTGCACATTTGTACTATTTCTTGTTAGTCTTATTTTATCTCATTTTAGAATAACCTTAACATGATTGTTAACATCATTACAAAGCACAAGACTGAGCTGAGTATGTGTTTAGCTCCTGCACAGCAGGGCTTGCTTCACCCTACCCTGAGGACGCATACTGGGAGAGGCTCCCATCACAGCACTGAGAACTTGGCCACACGTAATATGGCCAGCCCTCCCCATGGGTAAGAGTATGAGTTCATCCACTGCAGAAATACAACTACACACCAAGTTGAGACTACAGCTTTTTTCCCAACTTTCTCAAACTTTGGGATATCAGACTGCTGGGAAGAATCCCTCCCAGGAATGATCTTGACACGCAACCCAGGAACACAGGCTGGATATAGGATCTGATTCAGCCATTTAACCGTAGGCATTTAACAGAGTACTCAGTTTAGTTTTCACTAGTGCCCCATGTAATCAGCACAGAAAGATCAGCACCTGCAGTGAATGATCTCGGATATCGTAGTTTCTTGTAAGGAAGTGGGACAGTAACAGTAATTCTCAATGCTAGTTCGTAACTCTATATTCATTTGAAGTGACTCATTCGTTTGAAAGTCAGCATGGCCTAAAAATTATTTCCAGCTCCCCAAAACATGGACTGCTATAATTTCTTTTAAACTAATTAAGCTTAAGGCACCATTCAAAAACCCACACCACTGCTCTGCAACTGAGACTAGTTATTTTCCAAATGTTATAGAACCCTGACTCCACGTCTGCTGAAGATACGATGCAGTCTCAGATATTCTGCTGTAGCCTACCATGATTAATTTTAGTCTATGCAAATGGGTGGTAGAATGAAAGGAGAAGCAGTCATGGAAGCCAGAATCTGTATCCAACTATGGGAAGATTAGCAGTACCTAACACAATAATATCTCAGCAGGGAATATATGAAACAAGTAAACATTAGAAATAGCACATCCCAAATAGTGCATGTAGCGTATCCCAGTCTGTAGAGCTAGCAGATAGATAGGGGATTCTGTACTACGAATGTGCCAGAGGGAACCTCTATTTAACTCTCTGAGTTTGATTGAGGGTTTTATTAGTGTGTAAGCTGTTCTGTGCGTACAAAAGCACTCCTTAAAGCGCCCATCCATCTGCATAAGCACACGAGCAACTTTAATACATGGGTGCGTAGATATAGTAAATACTTTCTTCCCTAATGATTTTTCCATGTGAAAAAGCAAACCTTAATGCACCATGTAGGCAGCAGAATGGATGAAGTATGCAGGTAGTGGCAGTGCCTGAAAAAATATATGGATATGTGTGTTTGTGTGAATTCCTATTTACATTAATTCATGCCCACAATAGCTTATGGTCTGTATGAGCCTAGAAAAGCAGATCTCAAAAAACATTTTATACCTTATATCTGCTACATACTTTTGCTGTCAACTCGCATGCTGACATCATTGCAATAACCGGGCAATTTACGAGGATATAAAGGTTCTCAGTATAATCTATTCTCAATGTGTAGCTAATATGATTTTAAAGATAAATATTTTTATAAATAAATTTTATTTATACAATTGATAAATATTAATACTTTGTGAATTTGCTTTATAGAATTAGAGGTTTTTTTAAAAAAAAAAACAAAAGCCAAAATTCCCTTTAAACCAAATCTCAGTTTTCCAGAAGCTCAGCTGTTAAGACTGGGACAGCTCTCAATCTTTGAAATTTTTAACACTTTATATGTGAGAGAAAAGGGGTTGTTAAAGACTGAATGTTTATATGACCCCTTTTTTTTTTCTAGTAAGAGAGAAAGTAGGAAATGTTTCCATCTGAGCCCCACTTCACTTTTGTCCATGTGACAACTACAAGCTTTAAATGCAAGCTCTTCAGCATAGGCTAGATCTTATGTCTGTAAAGCATCTAACATACTTTGGTGTGTAAATGAATATCCCCAAAAATGCAAATTATCATGTACTTTATATTCATAACAAAATCTAACAGGCTTTTCAAGTACTCAAAAATACTTTCTTAAAAATACCTGTTGTTTTTCACTAGGAGTAGGTAACATAACTAAAGTATCCACTTTAAGATAGTTTCTTTTGTTTTTAGCCTAAGTGCAAAAAATTCTTATTTTGACACTTCAAAGGGAAAATAGGGCTGTGGTGTGTATTTTACAGGAAAAAGGACATCACACAGGATTCTCTTCCCAGCCCGGGAGCTGCAGAGAGGTCATAGGTGTGTAACTGAGGACAGAACTTAATCCAGATACTGCAGACCAGAAACTGGTTTCCACTGAGAAACCAGGACTTTATTCTGGGCCTTCATCAAGCTACTGCAACAACAATTTCAGAGAACAGTAAACTTCACCACAAACTTCAACTACAATCAATGTGGTACTTAGGAACAACATCAGTCAGAGTACAAACCTTTGCATTTTACCTTATGAAATAGCCGAGATGCCGCACACTCCTCTTTTTGAATGCCAGCTCACAAGAGCCACTGGCTGTAGCTAACACAGAACACATTGGAAATACCAGCTCCAAGTCCTACCTTACAGGTGCCTTTGGTGAGGCACTGAAATAGGTTGCCCAAGTCATGAATGCTCCAACCCTGGAGGTGTTCAAGGCCAGGCTGGACAGAGCCTTGGGCGACATAGTTTAGTGTGTGGTGTCCCTGCTCATGGCAGGGGGGTTGGAACTAGATGATCTTAAGGTCTTTTCCAACCCTAACTATTCTGTGATTCTATGATTCTATAAAATGTTGCTAATTTAACTCTAGGTGCTATTTATTGAAAGCTGTATTCTGCTATCTTACATGTAACACAATGCACATGGAGATACACATAAAACAGTGGGCTACCTGCCTGCTGAGGCATTCCCGAACAACTACTGATTTCCTATTGTGAGTTAAGGCCATGAAAAATTGGAAGGGAGGTGCAAAACCTGAACATATGTACAATTCATACCACAGCAAATGCTGATGAAAAGGCTGTCTACCAGAGACCAACTTTTTTATTATAACGTGTTTATAATGGCATACTATGCAAGACAACTGTGCCAGGGGTGATTGATAACAAGCATTGTAAAATGTCACAGATTAATAAAGAGCATAGTGGCTGCTAACTCACCTCCATCTTGTGAGTTCATGATATTCAGAGCAAACAGCATTGCATTGGAGAACGTGGTGGCCTCTTCTTTGCTCGCAAAATTCAAGCCATAGACCTGCCGTGCGTCGCGCCATTGATGAAAGGTAGGTGTTGCTTGATTGTACTTCAATCCTTTCACAATTGAGTAATTAATCACTACCTGTGATTTGAAACAGAGGAGCGAAAATTAAAAACAGTTCTGTCTTCAGTGGAGAAAACCCCAGCCCTTTGGTAAAGGTTAATTAAATTGGTAGAGGCAATTCGTATGGTAGCCCCTACACAGCTGTATGGTAAGGCAGTCTGTGTTTCGATGACAGAAGACCCACATCTGGGGGTGAGATTTACAACAATTCAATTCAGCCTCAGGAACTTGCAAGCTAGTTTTGCAAAATCTATTACCTGACTGTGTTTTCTACAGCACCTCTGCAGGGTACAGCTGTGCAAATACTGCAGACAGATGTCAGCAGCCAGTGCCAGCAGCTGTTGCCTTCTTTTGGAGTATGATCATGCACAATTGTCAGAAAAAGGGCCAGAAAGAGCTCTTGGCACTAATCCTGCTATACAGCAGATAAATGTTCGCCTCATTGCACCAGCTCTGCTTTTCTCCTCACAAGCGTCTGATCACCACCATCTTATGATGAGAGATTTTTTTTTCCTCAAATCAGATAGACCATGACAAAACTAGAAAACAAAGTATTTCCTCTCACACCTTTTTCCTTAGTGTACATGCTATTAATTCCAGGTAAGAGGTGACTGAGATAGAAGGATGTTTCTGCATGTTTTGATTTAATCTGCTAAATACAATGCCCTGATTATCCTTGGGCAAGGCACATGGGACGCCTGGGATCTGACCAGAAACCCCCAATGCAGAAAGCCTAAGCTGCTCTAGCTGAAGGTGGAGAGGAAGAAGTGTCCACTGCACCACTAATAATCCACAAGGACCCACAGCAGAGACAGCACCCCCAAGATACCCCTCTGTGGACTGACAAGGGCACTCTGTTGTGATGCAAATTTAAGAAACAAAATGCCAACAGAAGGGATCATAATTATTCTCATAAACAGGCACAGAGCACTTGAAAACCGAGAAGAAATAGGAAATGGAGGCTACCTCTTCTTCAGCCAACACAGGCTGGGGGCAGAAGCGAATCAGGGGCAGAGGAACATAAAATTAGGAGCAGGGAGAGTCTGAAGTTCATTATTCAAACACAGCAAATCTGGTTTTCAGTATCTGAGACTGTCTCTACAAATGGAGTTATTTTGACTGGAGTTTTATCAAAGCCAGAACAGTCACACAATTTCTGGTCCTTGCTGAAAGCCAATCAATGGAAATCTAACTAGTTTGTATGGCTCATCTGTAAACTAGCCAGGCTGGACAGCGGTATTAGGAGGAGGAAGTAGAGGTAGGCAGGATTAGGAAGAGGGACCTTTATGCACACTGTCAGGGAGCTCATTCTTACTGCAAATCTTACCATCCTGGACTTGGTAAGATGGGAGCAGAAACTGAAGACAAAGGAACAGAGAGCCAGTAATAAATGAATGAATGCTATACACAGTATTTACTGTTACAGGTGGATCACACACACCAAAAAACTTACCAATACACCATTTTTGCAGTCTGATTGACCAGTACTTTGGAAAGTTTTCTGTTAGTACGATTATTGCATTCAAAAACCTCCAACATATTTATTTTAACAATATTTTTGCTAGATGACTGATAATTCTTCTCAATTATAAAAGCTAGTTTTAAAACTAATTTCAAAGATGAATGACTCCTAGCTCTGAGTTTTGACTTCCCAGTGGATTGCTAATTTAGATTAGCAGAAAAAACATCAGACAAACACCTAATACAAAAGGAGCAAATTGTTCTTCACACATTCCTGTTTTTGAAGGATGATGTTGTCTCATTGATAGAGTTAATATGTTTGATAACTATACTAGATTAATATATAAAAAATATAGAAACCAGCAACAAAGCCACTACACTAGTAAATAATTACAGATAAACTATTTCTATAATGTATTCACTTACTTACCTGAGCCAGCATTAAACAGTGACAGCAGATAGTCTTTGAATATTTGGTCTAGCTTTAGGTATAAATTATCCTGATGGTTATTGAACATCCAAGTATCTGGTCCAAGTGTTGCTCTCAAACTTATTAAGTCCCCATGTAAATGAACTGGGCAGCAATCGGACCTACACTGGGATTTTTTTTGTGACATTTCATGGAGAAATTCCTGACCTGTGACCCAAAGGGAGATGCACAGCAGTCTATATTTGGTACACAGGTTCCTAACAGTTGGCCCCCTGAAAGTGGGAAGCGTATTGCCAGCATGCTGCATGGAAAGCCACCCACACCAAACAGAATGACATGGAAACCACCTTGCTCTGGTCACTGAGCAAAGCTATAAACTCTCTCTTACAGCTGACAACTTAGATAGCCCTTTTCTCTTAAAAAATAGTGACATCACCCCCGTTCTAACACTGAACACTGGGAGAGCCTGGATCAATGTTGCTCACAATCCAAAGATCTTTGGAGCATCAGGTAGATTCATGCCCAGATTACTAACCCAACGGTTTTAATGCATTTTTAAGTCTTCCAACCATTTCTGAGTAGCTTAAGCAAGGGAAGGCACAGCTAGTATCTTTGAGGAAATGTTTAGAAAGACTGTGAGCTTCTACCAGGCTTCGCAAAGTAAGTATTTCTCACCTACTAAGAGAATCTTCTGTTTCAATGGACAGCACTATTAAAGTTCAAAGAGCACAAACGGTGCAGTGCAGTTTTATAATGAAAAACAAAAATTGTACAAGTCTATGCCAAAAACCGTTTGATAGCAGTCAGCTAAACTGTTCAAAATTTCTTTCCTAGAACACCAGCTCAAGGAACTGAGAGAATCCACTCTCTTCTGAGGGTTTGATCCCTTCGGTTTAATAGAGACAGAATTTGAGTATTGACCTTCAGTAATCATCAGGATGCCTACACATGTAATGCCTTGTTTTCAAACTTAAAACAGAGAGTTTAAAAACGGGAAATGAAACATAAAATAGCCAGAATCTCCGTTGGCTAATGCTTCTAGAAAACAGGAAGAAGAGGAGGGCTTCTTCTGCTGTTGTTAAGAATGAATTCACAACAGTATCTCATACAGATGGCATGGAGACTCTGCAAGGCACATGATGATAAATAAGTGCTTCAGAACAGTAATTAAAATAAAGAAGGTCTCCCTATTTGGATCACAGGAGGGTTTTTACAGGTGTTTCTCAGGGATCTTTACTCTAAAGCTTCGTATGTTAGCACGATAGCATCTGCCATGCTGAGCAGACCAACAATTCATCTGTTAATCTTCAGCCGTAATCTGTAGTAGATGAATTGGGAAAATTTACTGGAAATCTTGCAGAAATAAGTAATGGATTTGTCTACAACAAACACTTATTCCTATAATCTTCACCCACAGTTTGTCTTAAAAGATGAAACATGACATTTTATGTGCCTTTTTTTTTTACTTTTCCAACCCCTTTTACTATTTTCTATCCTGAAACACAGTAGTCTCATTACTGATAGAAATGTCTGCGTTGTTTTGAAACCTATTAAATTCTGGATTTCAATGGTCTTGCATGGTGATGAGTTTTACCAACCAGTTGTGCACAGTATTAATATGTTGACAGCTTTCAATGTTCCCATCAGTATAATGTTAAAAAAGATTTGCTTCACTTCCACTCGGTACTATCCTTCACCCTTTCATCTCAGTTTCAAATGCAGGCTCTCTGGGACCAGCAGGGAATTTTGGGATCTATTAAAAAGCTCAAAACCAAGAAGCCCTTCACTTTGACTGCAGCCTATAGACTGCTGAGTTTTAAGTTGTCAGCAGCAATGATGGTGGTGGTTGACAGGACCCACAAGAATGGGGCTAGAAGGGATCATGTGGGCCTCAGGTATGCATGTGAGGTGTAACCACAACCAAGATCACGAGAAGAGCTCTCACACAAGCCTTACCACTCATGCTCTTGTTTACTGAACTGGAACAAGTCATTTGCCTGTTTCTCCAGAGCATGAAATGGCTCAGAGGTTTGTTACAAGCTTGGGGCCTGCTGCACTGCCAAGGGTCAGACTCCTCTCATGGGGAGCAGTGTTATGGCTGCTAAAACAGGGAAGATATGGTGCAGCAGCTAAAACCTGCTACAGATAATGCCAGATTCTTTATTTCTGTAAGCAGGCCCAAACCTGACCAACTTCTGATAAGTCACAGCAGTGATTAATTGGTTCTTTATTTTTCAAAAATGTGGTTTAGTTTATACCCCAAGAATGCTGCCCCTGTTTCAGTTTTGGCTTCAGCTCAAATGCAAAATGTCCTACCTTCCCCAAGGCCCTGTTTTTACATTCACTTCTCAGCCACATCAAGACACCAAACCCTCCGGAGGAGGTATGATTCACTTCTGACTTGCACCCTCCCCCCCGCCTATTTGTTCAGCACATGCCTTTCGGTGATGAGATCATGCTGAGCTGAAGGCACTTGATGTAAAACCCTAATTTAACCCCTCAGTTGATCCGGACTCTGAACTGGGGAGGCACTGCTTGTCAGTTAGGCCATAAAGATGGGCCACTTGCATGTTTTTAGTTTTGTGAACTTCTTGCGTGATGACTGCAGCTTCACCTTTACAACAGGCAAGGTTACAAGTACAGCTGGCAAGTTGCAGCATGCGGGTGGTGAATCATTTGCTTGAGACTGTTGGGCTTCGAGAAAATGAAGGCTGCAAGGAAACATCAAAGCTCATGATATGAAATGACTGTAGCACTGATCTGGCCTTAGCTTCAAACCACTTCTGGCCTCTGTGGCTACTTCAAAGCTTCAAAAGTCTATTTCTGGTTTTCTGAAGATTATCATCCATGTCAGCATGAGTCTATGCAAATGTGCACATTTGTGCAGAGCAGGAAAGGGAATTCATGTACCACTGGTCTGTAACAGCACTGCTGTTGCATGCAAGCACACGATGAGAATGTCACCCACACACATAAGGAGAACAAGGGATTGGGTGGCCACTTCCTGGTGGTGAGAATGACGCTCAAGTTCTACCACTCTGAAAACCATGTATTTCTTTGCAGTGCACTTTTTAGACACCGTCAGCTAGAGAAGAAGATAAACACAGATAAGGTAAGCAGAATGTGAAGACAGTATCATAAACTCCAACACGTGCACCAAAAAAAAGGCACAGAAAGGCAGCTAGTCAAAGACAACAAAAGGAGTTTGCAGAAAAAGGTATGTGGGGGGAAAAAAAAAGAGATGAAAGTTCAAGAGTGGGGTGTAATATAAACTAACAAAAATTAAAAGGGAGACATTAAAGACAGGCAAGGGTGAAGTAATGAAGATTACTCTAGTCTGCACCTTGCCAAACAGTATGAAGAGTATGTAATAAAACTTAAAATTGTTCCTCCATGGTATTGTTGTGTTACATATTTTAAACTAGTTGCTCAACTCTTGAAAATCTGTGTAGCTTCATTATATGCCAAATCACACGATTGGTCCTTTTCAGAAAAATACAGCTTTCCTGGCAAAGCAACAGCTTCTTCTGAAACCTCATTTTCAGTGTGATTTAGCACAACCTGAGAGCAAGCACAAAATAGCTTGCACAGAGAATTATTTTAACTTAAATTCATTTTTGTTCTCATTAAATGCAAATACCTAGCAAGCTTATGGTTCCATGTGAGACTCATATAAAATATATCAAGTTCTGATTCTTGAGACTTTCAGAATGTTCCTTATAATATTACTATGCTATGCCATCTTGAATTCATGATACTGGGGTTTTTTTGCAATCATATTTAAGGTGTATACTTTCTTTTAGACAGTTTTAAGTAACTAAGATAAACTGTTTGTTCGAGACAGGAATTTTAGTCCTTAAAGTCTAGAAAAAAATATTGTTTCCTTCTGAATTGAGATGATTTTTAGATGGCATGCAGCCTCTTCATAAGTAGGAATGTTTGCAAGCAAATGTAATGTTACATTTAGCGCAAAACATGTTTGAAGTACAGATCAAGATTTGATTTTTTAATATATCCCACTTTTAAAATTGTATACTTTGATTAAGACAGACCTCTGCTGCATAGTATCTCTTACATATATATGTGGACTCCATGACTTTTGCTTCTTTTACACTGGCTAGTCAGACCCGTCTTAGACTGTAGTCACATGAAAATCATTTACATTCACCTGCTGGCTATGTAAAATGAACAGCTAGCATGGCCTGTTACAAAGCAGTACTGGCTTTCACAACTCACTAAGCAGCCACTGTATTTCATTTATTGCTCAAAATATTTTCTATTTTTGAAATGGGACTACATTAATATACTGCCTCTACTGACAAGGATAAAAGCAGTGGCAAAAAATATAGCAGATGTTTCAAAAGTGCACTGCAAGGATCTGAAAACCCATGTGCTCAGAATCCCCACCTATTCTGATTTTCCTTTCTCAAAATGATGACTGGGTATATGGAGAGCATAGCAGTCAGTAACACTTCCAGTAAGCACCATAACTTTTCGGTTGGCCCAAGCACCATTACAGCTGAGGGACATCACCTGCATTTTCATGAGCCGATGGGTCAATTCAATATGTGTGGCAGGTGGTAGTGCCCTGGCTCCAGCTCGCTTGGCTTGCCCTGCCCCTGCCTGTCTCACACTGATGGCAGTGCTCATCACACCTTCCCAGGAAACCCACTCTCTGAACTAACAGGAAATCAGCTGCCCATTGTTCTCTGATTCTTCTGCCAGGTTGAGGGCTCGAGGTGAACACAAGAGGCAGGCAGCCAGGCCAGGCTGTGCCGTCACCGCTGTACCAGCCCCGAGCCGACATGCAGAGGGAGTCCCTGACTCCGACATCTCTGCTCTAAAATGCAAATGGCGCTATGTATAGCACTGCTACTCCACTGCAATTCAGTGTCTAACTATGTCTTTTGGTTACAGAGCTTCTGGTGGCACATACTGCCCAGCAAACCTGCAAGCCAGGCTGCTCAGAGCCATGCCATGGCAGCCCCTGGCTGAGCACAGTGCTTTGGTGGCTGAGGGGGGCCTGATCCCAGTTCTGCTAATCTAAATCCCATATAACTCCTTTAATGCCTAATGAGGCCTCGCAGACTTAGGCTGCTATAAATCAGATCACAGTGTGCACCTAGGATTTTAAAATGCATTACAAGGAACTAATTGCTTATCACAGCAATGTAACAATCACACTTTATGAGACTGCAGTACAGGACAATTGTTTTTTTCTTTTATGGAACAAAACCAGAGCAGAAAGTAAGTTAGGTGGAGTTGAGAGCAAAACCTGCAGAATGAAATAAGACTCATTTCACAAGCAAAAATGGAGGGGGAATAGAATTAAAATCTCCAGCATATACTGTAAGTTCTGTTTGCAAAAAAGAACCAGTAAATTGTGATATTCTGTGTGCAAAATCTATACAAAATGTGAATAAGTGCTGTAAACAGACTCATAGGCACCTTGCAGGGAACAGGAAATGTTGCTAGACTGCATTAAGCATAGAACTGATGTTATGAAATGAGATCAAAGGTTAATTTACAGGAAACTCAATACGGTTACTCACTTGCTGATCTTGCAGTTTAACTCCAACTACTCTGAAGGTGTTAGTGGCCGTGTTGTGGTATATGTTGATTCTGCTGAATCCCTGCTGTCCAGGTTTGATTGGCACCCATTTCTTACTGGTATCGTCATAGACCATAACTGAAGCTCGGGCTTGGCAAATACTCTGTTCACTGGAGAGCAAAAATAACAAAATCAGGAAAAAAAACCCAGTGAATTTGCTGTATACTACTGAAAACATCTAAAGGAAAAGAAACCAACAGAAATTATCACAACTGCTTACAACATATGTTTCATAAGAGATCTGCTAATCCTTTGAGTGCAATCTCTCTGCTAAAGCTGGCTTGTATGTGTTCATAGACTTAAAAAACCTCCAGTATGCTGCTGTTTTGAACTGATGATCTATTTTATATAAAAATATTAGGCCCTGAGGAATAACCTGTATCACATAAACGTTATGAAAACTGTCCAAGAGTACGAATGCTCCATTTATTTTATGTGCCTATTGGCAAGGGAAGCCTTTTGCATTTGCGTGAAAACTTAGCAATATTTTACAGCTTACTGAAAAAATAAACACGACATCCACAGCTGAGTTACACATTCAAAACTGGAAGCAAGCAGACCTTGAACCAAAAGCCATGTTAGGTAAACTGAAGAAATCAATTACGTTAATCCAGCTAACGCCTAATACCCAGACACACTGACGCACTTAGAAGTCCCAGAATACACAGTGCAAAACACACAGGAACTCTTTTTTCCTTCATCCCAGTAGCAAAGAAAGTGGGAAAGGGGTATCCACAAATGCCTGCATTATTTTGTATAGCATTAATAACTATTTTTCTTCTGGTGATTCACAGAAATTCATCAGTTCTTTACCTCTTGCTTGCACATTCATGACAAACACACCTATACTTGATTAATGCTAAAACACACCCTGCATGTGCAAGAAATGCCACTGGCAAATACTGTTGAGCTGACATGTCAGTATGGATCAGGATTTCAAATTCCCACTCTCCTGACTTCCCAGCCACTTTTCTTATACTAAAGGATATAGGAGTTCCTTATACAAGAGAAAAAATGAATCCTGGAGACTTTGGAGATTTGAGATCTTCAAATATAACAGGGATTTTCAACAAGCAAATAGTGCATCTTAGGGCTAAAGAAAACTGTTAAGATTTATGACCTGCAAAAATCATGACCATCCTATTAACATATATATTTACATACACCTCCCTTCCTTAGCCCAAGCCATATTAAATCATTTTCAGCAATGCAATGTCAAGCGGTAATCCGCTTTGCACAAAAATCCCTTTTTTCCCCTCTCTTGTATATATGTCTTTGTTTTGGTTTTGCCTCAGTAATGTCTCACTAGCACACAAAGAAGTGAATTGGAAGCTCCTGGTTGGTGCTAAACTGCCGTCCTGGCTGCACTGCCACCATGACAAATTATACCACTTGTCATTTATACCAACTGCTGCAAACCCAAACCCACCCAACCTCGTCACTGTCATCATTTTAATGAAAGGGAGCACGTTACTGTAAGTATTAAGAGGATCTGGGTAGATTACACCAGCAATTTACAATCTTTTCTGATTTGTAGGTCTCAAAAAAAAATTTCCAAGGCAGATGCATTCCCCATTGTACAAACTAAAGCCTACTGACTCTGGGCTGTTTTATCAGTCACTTCACATAGCCTCCAGGCAGCCCACAGACCTCCTCTAGGCTGTGGGTAAGAGCCTGAAAACTCTTCAGTGTTTACTGAGGGAGCAACTATGCTGACAATCATCTCCCTAAAGAACAAGGTAAGAAAATTCAGAATAAATTGTATTTTATCACACAGTATGGAAACAGCTAGATTCTGGTACTGGAACAATATATCCAGATCAGAAAGACTAAACATTATTTTATTATATTCTTCAGAATTTGTAAAATCAAGCTCATCCACTGGTTGCTGTTGCTTTGTTGCACAAGATGCCTGGAGAACAGCTGTGCCTTTGCTGATGTATTTACCCAGAAAATACCTCTCCCTCCCTTTTTTAAGGTAAGCTAATGTCTCGTGGCAGCTACTCCGTAACTGAAACTAGCAGCTGAGGGATTTGAGCTCACTCCAGTCTGCCTAATCCTCCGACTGGTGCAAGAACCACAGACTGGCAGCAGCAGCAGCAGCACTGCCTGCATCCTCCAGACATGCCCAGGGATGCTCAGTCAGCCTCGGATTCACAGATGGGGAAGATGGGAGAGAGACACACCAGCAAAAAGGCAAGTACACAGGATTAGCTTTGCCATGTGGAAATGCAATGGCTAAAAATAATCTCTGGTGTGGTCTTGTGGCTGGACGGTGCCCACCTGCCTGTGCTATCAGATGTCTCATGCCACCTCCAGTACTGGGAGAGTCACACTTGGTCAGCGTGATACCATATTCTTCTTCTCAAGCCTTGCTGGTCACTACAAGCCTCGCTGTACTGAAGTAACCAAGAGCATATCACTGGTGTCACCAGAGCAAGCCTGGAACTCAATGTTGTTGTCTCCATTTCAGGTTAGTTTTGGAACCCAGAATTACCATGGGCTCCTTAATTAGTCAAAATTAATTAAATTATCCTTACCCACAACAAAGAGAATGCACCTAACCATACAGACATTATGGCCTTCGTAATGCCATATCCAGATTCCAGTAGATCCAGCAACTTTGCCTTCAAACTTTGCTGTCACTAAAAACTACAGCAAAGAACCCCTCTACAACCCCATGGTTAAAATATGGATATAGACCCCAGCAGTAATATTTAATGCATGACAACCAGCCGTTACTGTAACATAAAGCAACACATCATGCTCAATCCCTGCTCTCCCTGCAGTCAATGGAAGTTTTTCATCATTCATTTGAATGGAAACAGGATTAAGCCTGTTACTTGGCTTCCAGTAAAATAACAAAAAGGAAAATAAAACAAGTACAGCACAAGGGGAGTCCTTTCCTGCAAAGCACTTCATCAGTCTTTCAAAACCTAAAATGCCCCCAGAGACCCATTGCTAGCTTGCTGTCTCACTCGAAATGGAGGTGCAACTCTATGTCTGAAGACTCTTTACGCATCCTACCCACAAAAGGGACAACTGTCCCACTGCCACTTTAAGGGATCTCCCTGAAAACAGCCCAGAAAAGCTTTCTCTTGAGAAGGTCAGGGAGAATCTCTCTCTGACTCTCTGTGGAGTCTACAATTTAAAATGTAATCCAGCAACAGTGGTTTCAGGAAGATCCAGCAAAATTGTCTGTTATTTTGGGGACCATACACCATTGATACTTATGCCAACTGCACACAACAGGTAATAAATATAGGGTTTAGTCACACTATTGTTCATAGCCACATGCCTTCTCCATGAGAAGAGTTTGGCAGGTATTAGCGTTCATACACAAAATCATTATTGTAGACTTCCAGAAGTTGCTTTATTTTCCTAAGAATACACAAAAGTTACTGATAAATGGATATGTGTTGGAGAAGATCCATCAAGTTCCACATATCATGCCAAATATTACTAACTCCCTTGCTGCTTTGTTACGTTACGTTAACATGCAAGTGGACAGGCTCATCCACTGAGTTTCTACTGCAGGCAATTATGTGTCAAAAAGCAAAACTGCATTGCAAAGGGAACTTAATTACATCATTGCTCAGGTTTGTGCCTAACATCCACTCCAATGTACTACACATTGCTCTAGGGCAGATTTAAGACATCTTATTTAAATGTGGAGGGAAAGGGGTTCTTCCTAGGGAATGCCTTACATCCGATTCCTAATATCCACATTTATTTATTCTGAAAGCATTTTCTCCTTAGTGCTTTACATCTGTGGGATGGCAAACCTCTGCACCAGGACCACTTGTTTGCCTGAAGTTAAAGCAAATCTGCTTAACTTCCTATCTGATAGAAGCAGGCTGCACTGGGAAATCCTTCGTTCACAGCTGGTACCTAAAATGGAGCATTCATTGTTGAGATTTATAGAATATTGTTTCAGTATTACAAAACTATAAATTAAAAAAAAATAATTGTTTGCATGTAATACTGCTTGCTTCATTTTGTGTAACCCATTTTGACAGTCTCTTCTGCTTAGGATTTGTCTTCACAAATTAGCAGCTTAGCTGATCTGGAGTTAATCCTTCTTGGAAGGGTCAGCTTTGACCCTTCTTCCCCAGCCCTGGTGAGAGTGGGCAGCCAAGCACATGCTGGCCACACAGATTTGTTTTATCCTCCTTGTATTGCCAGCTACAGCACTAGCAGCACTTCCAGCCCCAAATGAGTCATGCCAAGCTTAAAGGTTCCAGTTGAGATACAGAGACTGCTGCATTTGGGAGAGCAGTCAGGGGCAGCAGCAAGGCTGCACTTCAAGACAATGCTGCAATGAAGATGGCTTCATCCAGAAATGTCTCTTCTCTTCCATCTGTGCAGAACTTGAAAAATGCAGTTATTTCTTTCTGGTTTTAAGTACATTTCTGATTACCAAGGTCTAATAGCCAATAAGGAGCCACCAAGGAGTATGGAAAAGATAGATAACCTAGGGAATCTTAGGGAAAATACCTGTATTTTTGAGGAATTATTATGACACTTGATGGGGCTGCTTGGCTGACTGCAAGTAATGAAGGGGAAGAAACAAAGCAGGGCATGAAATAACAGAAATGACTGTGGAGGCTGGAATTGGGGAAGCCATGGATTAGGGCTAACTAATCAACTTCAGGGTTCAATACCAAATTCTGTGGGTTCTACTCAGGCATACCAGCTGGACCAGGAGAGTTCCACTACCCTTTGTATTTACAGGCACAACCGTTTCCTGGGGCAGACATTCACTTAGCATTGCGAAAGCTCCCCGATAGAAATCAAGCTATCAGGCTTTGAACCTGTTATGGATTTACCTTGTTTCAAGCTGCACATGATTCTCTCACCTTCAAACAAACTGTTTTCCGGTATTCTTAGCTGCTTTTACAAACATTTACCTTACTTTTTATTTCCATCTCCCACCCATCCACCCCCCCCCACCTTTAAATGATTAATAACTCAGTTTTTTTTTTTCCTAGTAATCCTTATTGGTGTCATAAATAGATAATAACACAATGCAATTATTAAAATATAATAATATTCACACAGAACGTGTGAGGTAATTCATGAACCATTTAACACATCTCACTTT